TACTTGAGGCCAAGTGTGAATTTGCAAGCAAAGGCCTGGAAATTAGCTGAGGTTGAAGGAGCATTAGAAATAGCTGACCTGAAATATAAAGAATTTAGATATGAGTTACTTATAATATGATCAGTTGTTTGTATGTATGTGTTTACAGTGCCACTTTGAGAATCTTTAGAAAAGCATTTTTAAATATATTGGGTATAATCTAATTAACTGAACCACTTTTTACTGAAATGTGTACTTGAATTTTTCCACTTAAATCAGGAGGAAATAAATATGTTCAACTCGAATATATTTCTAGTTTATTGGTGAAGGGAATGAACTGATTTCTTTTAGATTCTATTAATGTTAGTTATGGTGTATTTTATAGGTTAAGGATTCATGTTTCTTTTTTTCTATAGAACCAGTTCTACATGTACACATTCTCTTGGTTTGTGTTAATAACAACCCCCATATGATATAGATTTGGTACAGATATTCCTCAACTTACAACTACAATAGAGGTCAAAATTTCTGTTACTAAGCAAGACAGTTGTTAAGTGATTTTTTCTCCATTTTACGACCTTTCTTACCACAGTTGTTAAGGAAATCGTTGCTAAGTACAACTTAGACTTAGAGTAGACAGTGGGAAAAGTTGTACTTTTAAAGGAGCTGAAAACAATGTGTGTGAATACAAAGCACTAGAAAATGAAGTATGCACTATGAAATTTAGACACCTGTTAGACTAGTCACTGAGATGTTATACTATTGAAAACCTTTAGAAGAAATGTCCCCTCAGGTTCCTCTAATTTTTTTTTAAGTTCTTAAACAAAAAGCTTGTGTTGTTTGAGCTGAAGAATAGACTTACTCTGTAATATTTAGCATTATTATGGCCATAAAGACTTTAAGTTGTTTTGCTCTTCCGTAGTTTCATTCTTAGGATTCTGATGAAATTCTGATATTCTACCTTTTTTCAGTTAGGACTATAATTTGACTGTAACAGACCTAACCACCAAAGTTGTGCTATCTTTTGAATGGTATTTTCAATGGCTATATCTTCACTATTAGCTAAGGAAGAAAACAGTAATTCGAAAAGGTGGTAGCATACAAATAACATATATCAATGTTTCAATTGCTTATTTCTGATGGTTATATTAATTTCAACCCCCCTCCCAAACATCCATCATACAAATAGCCTGCCACAAACAAAGAGTTCTAAACACACAAAATAACAATAGTTATTCAGCATCCAGGACAGCATATCAACAAGAAGAAGAGTACAGATTTCCTCCAGTTTACTGGGCTCAGATGAAGGCACAAGACTAATTTGCCTCAGTCATTTAATGTTCATAGGCCATATGTTTCTAAATACTACATGTACCTGCTTACTACGACTCATAAATTTGGAAAACCTTCCTCCATGAATTTGTTCAGCTTTAAAAAAAAAATAATAATATCTGATCATAAAGAATTGAACACAAATGAAATATTTCCGTGACCCCCAGGTATTTTGCTGTAAAGTCCTTTGGGGTGTTCCCATGCCATGTTCCACAGCTTCCAGCTTCTGAAGAGTGAGAAGCAGGAAAAAAAAGATAAAATCAATAAATGAATTATCTCAAAGCAAGTACTTTATTACAAGCTTGCAATGTCTTTGTACTCATCCGTGTCCTTTTATTCCTTTCAGGTGTTCCAGAGCCTGGAGGATCATCATCAGGAAGTGGTGTCTTTCTTTCGGGAGAATGGCTTTCATGGACTGATTGCCCATGACTCGGAATATGCTCTCTGCAACATACCTTCCTACTATAGTTCCCATGCCCTGAAGCTGAGCTGGAATGGCAAAAACCTCACCACTAACCAGTTCCTTATGCAAGAGGTGGCCAAGCAGCTGGGTCTCAAGCTGAACAGTTTTCCTATATTTGCTGCCTTGCTGGGTAAATTGAAACTGGTTAGCCTTACATATCATGTTAGATCATAGTTTGTTGTAACCATGGTTTATAAAAAGCTATAGTGACTAGAAAAATGCAGCTTTTCAGTGTGCATTGCTTTTTTATTTTTTTTCTTTCCTAAATGTATGTGAAAGAGCATAACTTTTTTTCCACGTTGTCAGATGAAAAAAAAAATAGGTTGCTGCTGGCTTGTAATCTTCTCAAGGGCAAGGATGTCCCATTTGCAAAATCCCTGATCTTAACTCCAGTCTTTTTACTGGAGTAGGGGCATCTCTATTCTTCATAATCTTTATATAGTATGGTATACATTAAATTCTTGCTGTTATTTAAAATGTTTAGAATCATTAATTATCAGATCTGGAATTTTTTTAAAAAAATAAAAATAAAACAGGTTGGGAGGGTTACATATGTCTAGAGATTAGGAGAAATTGCTGCTATCTAGAAAGCAGAATATGATCTGAAACGTTTCAAACTGAGCCACGTTTTATGGAGACTAACTAACCATCCTGAATCAAAAAAAGAGCTTCAACTTTAACCAAAACAACATAATTCAATCACTTTGCTGTACTCTGAAGTTCAATATTGAAGTACAGATGTTCTGTTTGCAGAGTTTCAGACTTGGGATTCTCAGTATACTGTTCAAGATTTTTCTCCTCTTGCGAAACATAATTTGCGAATTCTTAACTTTAAATTCTATAACACTTTCTGCTGATTTCCATTTGGGGGGCGAGGGAAAGGAGGGCTTGAATTCCATTCCTGTTGCTGACTGTCTGTTACTGTACCTTTCCCCCTCTCAGGGAACCACATTCTTCCCGATGAGGACCTGGCTGCCTTCCATTGGAGTCTTCTTGGACCGGACCACCCGCTCGCTTCACTTAAGGTGACACATACCCCCTCCTTGTCCTGTCCGAAGGGCAGCAAGGCAGGAATTGAAAGAACTGCAGAGTTGTTGCCCAAAGAACTACTCGAGGGTTGTCTGGATTCTAAGCTGTCTCTGGCTTTCAGAAATAGCATCCTAATGGGAGGAGTGAGGAAAAACACCCCTAAATTTAGCAGCCAGTTCTAAGAAACAATTGCGCTCTTATATTGTGTTTACTCGAAGAAAGCTATGCTTTTTCCCAAATAATGTATCTTTAAAATGAAACGATCATCTTAAATACAACAAGAGATGATAATAGAGCCAGATATATATATTACCTATGTGAAATGTGTAAATGAAGTGTCACAATTGTCAGTTCTTAAAAGAAATGGAAAGATTCGTCTAATACTTAAAAAACAAAGAATTTCAGGAAGAAATAGAGGAAAAAATAGAGGGTTGGACTAGATTTAAGAAATAGAATCAATTGGGCATATTATTTCATAGTGTTTCTCTAGCAGGACTGGAAAAACAAGATTTGTGTTGCTTTTTCTCTGC